CACGCCTGGGAGGGAGTCCCTAAACTGAGCTCATTGAGATGGTGAGACCTCGATGTGTGTGCATCACCATTCCAACCCCAGTCCTGGAGCCCTGAGCTGAACGGGAAGGAGAAAGCGAGCTGAGCAGCCGGGTACCCGCCCCGCCCCCTGCTCTCTCTGCTTCACTAAATTACTAAGAAGGCCCCGGAAGCCTCGAGCTCCTGCCAGCATGAATTCACTGCCATGATGCGCTGGACTCTTGAACTATGGGGCAGAACAACCCTCCCTTCCCAGAGTTCCTTTTGTCAGGAGTTTTGGCATTAAAACAAGAAGGAAAAAAAAAAAAACAATAACGGATGCGTGTGATTAGTTCACCTCGGACGATACGCACTACAAAGAAAACTGCTGCTCAATGGTAGCGTTTTCACACTCCTGCTCTTAAGAGTTTGAAACGTCGGTAGCTTGTAACTTCCGGCTGAATGCATTAAGGATGCAAAAAGCGGCTCCCGGGGAGTGAGCTGGAGAAGCAGAAGAAAGAGGCCAGCTGCAGGCAGCACAGTGCGACAAGGAGCGTCTGCTGGGCCAGGCTTGCCGCCTTAGCGCCTGTGGCAAGACACGAACAGCTAGGTGGGGAAATGTCGGAGCAGAGTTTACTAGAAATACTTGAGAAAGCAAGCCAGCAGCAGCAAAGAGAAGAGCAGCCAAGTTCGACGGAAGAAAAGGATCTAGAAGACTCTGATAAAGACGACTCTGAAATGAAGCATTCAGATTCTCGGTGGAACAGCTTCTGCGGCGATTAGGATCTGCTAAGGCCTTGCTTCGCTTATTTTGACTTCTTTTTTTCCTCTTCATTTTGGTTTTTTGGAGACAGGGTTTCTCTGTGTAGCCCTGGCTACACTGGAACTCCCTCTGAAGATCAGGCTGGCCTCGAGCTCACAGAGATCCGCCTGTTTCTGGAATGCTGAGAATAAAGTCAAGCGCCCACCCCGCTCTGCTTACTCTGTTTATTGTTTATATATGCCTTTAGGTGGGAAAAATAAGCTGTTATGCAAACTAAAAGGAAAACAAAACCCTATCTCGAAAAACCAAAAAAAAAAAAAAAAGGAAAACAAGCAGAAAGTGAAATCCCTGACCACATATTATCTGTGAAAGTCTACGCTTCTAGAAATTTGTGGTCTACCACAACTAGACAACAAATCCTAAAACTGACATTTGTTTCGTTTTTTGAGGCATCTATAATAGACACAGAAAAGTAACTACATAAATGGTATATTATGTACTCTTGAGTTGGAAATCTAATAAGTCTCCAAAGTAAAGGGCAGACTGGCAAGGTGTCTCAGCGGAAGAGGGTGCCTGCCACCCAGCACCCATCCTCAGCACCCGTGGTGGAGAGAAGGGCCAGTGCTGTGTAAGAGGAGCAGCAGCCAGCAATGGAGTAGACCTCACGGCTCTGGAATGCGTGAGACTCCCTTGTTCTCATTTTCCGTCCTCCGCAAATCTCATATCTAACAGAGGGGAAGGTGACTTCTAGCCCGCGTTTGCCTTTTTCTGGGTCTCCTATTGGAACAATTGGAAGGATAATCTAAGTCCTGTCCCTGACCATCTTTACTAACTGTCCTAACCACCTGTATCTTAGGCTAACTCCGAAAGTCCCATTAAATCAACAGATCTAACCAATCATCATTGGCTCTCATAAAACTCATCTTCATTATGATTTGCAAGCAAATTGCCCAGTGAGGTGTGGGATTTTCCCAAGAAACAATCACGCTATACTAGATGCAGTGGGATCCTCTCATATGGTAATGACACCGTGGCAAATTCAGCGGGGAACAGGGCAGCAGCAAGGGGCATGCTGGAGACCATCCCCTCCCAGGAGGCACCCAGTGGAGCTTTGCTGTCCTCTAAACTGTATCCCATAAGCCCCGTTGCTGTCTGTAGTTCCTCTGACATGGCCACCGGCAGAGAACCAGCTTCCTCAAGGTGTCCCGGACATCTTGCTCCCCAGTCCCACATGCGCAAAAAATAAAATAAAAACCTTTAAAATAAAAGTGGGGAGGCTAGAAAGAGGGCCCAGCGGCTAAGAGCACTGCCTGCTCTTGCAGAGGGCCCTGATCTAATTCCTAATACACAAAACGGTGGCTCACAACCGTCAGTAGCTTCAGACCCAAGCGGATCCAATGCCCTCTTCTGGCCTATGAAGACGCTATATGCTCATGGTACACACACGCGTAGCTAGAACACAAACATAAAGTAAATAAATCTACAAAGTTTTAAGCAGTAAATGGCATCAAATTCTTTAAGTAATTAAGGTGTATTTTTGCCTGTAATCCTAGCACTTGGGAAGCTGAGGCAGGAGGACTGCTGTGAGTCCAATGCCAGGCTGGGTTCCATGGAGAATGCCGGGCAAACACTAGTGGCCTTGTGAAAACTTGGAGATAGCCTGAGGACTTGGGGATTTGCAAGCTGATGGCGTTTATAACATAGAGAGAGACGGGAGATGCAATGACAGTTTGGGAGCATTCTTGCTGACGGTGGAAAAAATACTCAGGATTTGAACAAGGTGTGTGGGAGATCAGAAGTAGGGTTCTCTACGTCCCTTTACAACTTGTTGGGATACAGTCGTCTTCACACTGACCCGAGAAGGGAGACAAAGTTGAGACGTCATAACAGTGCTTTCAGCAACCCTTTCTCCACAGTACAGACTAGCGATTCCTTTCGCTGAGCATCTGCTACAGGCCAGGAATAAATGCCAAGCCACAGCAGATGAGAGTCCTCCCACATTTTGCTTTTGGACAGCTGAATTAAATGAGATCAAGTGCTTCTCTGTGGAGATGGGGATCAGGGCTTTCCTGGGTCTGGGACTGGTGGGAGGATTGTGCGTTATTTACCGTCTTTAACCTCGTGTGTTAAAAAAATGGGGATTGACTGAGGCTATGTGAAAAGAAAACAGAGGAGCCCACACTGCCCATTCCAACTCTGGTAAAAGAAGGACGGGGGGAGCCAGAAGGAAATAGGAGGGGGAATATGATCAAGTGCAATATGCCTGCTGGAAAATGTCACAGGGAAAGCCATTGCTTTGTACATTGACAAAACATGGCAAATAGCAATTATGGGTGAGATACAGTCCAGTGGGAGACCAGTCGGTTTAACACGATACATATAGATATAGATATATACATCTACATAATGTTATATATAATATATCTATCTAGTATACACACAAATGTTTATATCTCCACAACTATTCCACCTTACAGTTAATAATATGCTACAGAACTTTTAAGACTCAGGTAAGATTATTATATAAGGTAAGTGTCCTATTTAATTCATGACCACACGCAGAGAGAGATGCAAACCTCCACCTTGGCTCTTGCAGCTTATGCCAATTCCGTAATTCCGTGTAATTGTTCTCCACAGAGACTAGTCCGTTTAGAATGAAATTCTTAGAGCTGCTTGGAATTACTGCAAGTCATGATTCGCAGGAGTGTGGACTGAATTTCCCAGGAAAAAAGAAAGCTGCACCTGTGTCAAACATTCCACGAGCTGGTTCACTGACTGTGGAGAGACGGAATGTTCCGGTCGGGAGCCAAAGTCACCCGGGACCCTCTTCAGTCCCCGAAGAAGCCACCTCCCTGTGTGGCCTAACTTCCTGTTGACCATTAAGTAAATCATTTAAGAAGACACAGACACCTAGCCTGCACCAACCCAAAGTTGGAGCCTATCAGCAGATGACGTCTGAGGCCTGTGGCAGAGGTTCCTGACCCACGCCGCCTCATGCTTCCAGCAGGGTATTTGAACATGCCTTGACTTAGGAGGTCTCTTACCATTCCCATATTGGAATGTGGTATTTGGGGAAACCTGAATTTGTGCTCCTCGGCCAAGGTCATTCATATTTGACTACAGAATAAAGCTATCTTTTCCCTTTGAGGTAATAGATATGTCAGAAGTACTTTCCAATAGCCACCTACAGCTTGATAAAATTTCACTCGTATCATAACATCTTTATAATCATGTAGTCTTTGGGGCAGGTTCGAACACCCAAGGACAGAGGTACCGTCCAATCTTCCACACACAGTTTTTTTTTTAAACCCAAACTTGGGAGCTGGAGGGATGGCTCAGTGTTTAAGAGCACTGAAGGTCTTCCAGAGGACCCGGGTTCAAACTCCAGAACCCACATGGGCGCTTGCAACTGTCGGTAACTCCGGTTCCAGGGGACATGACACCCATAGCAAAACACCAATGCACATAAAATAAAAATAGATAAAAAATAAAAACCTCAAACTACTGTAACACATAAATTGGAAGAATTAAGGCTGGGGAGACAGACCAACTGACAGATTGCCTGCCTTGCATGTGCAAAGGCCTGGGGTTAATCCTCAGAACCTACACGGAAAATCTAGGCATGGTGTTGCACCCTTGTAACCTAGCGGTGGGAAGTGTGGGCAGGAGGGTCCGAGGTCCACTGGTCAGTCAGCCTACTTGGTGAGCTCCAGGCCAGAGAGCGATAGAAAAGGAAAGAGAAGAAAAGGAAAGAAGAAAGGGTGGGCAGTGCCTGTGATGGCTGCTCTTGGTTGGAGCACGTCTGGAGTTAACTAACACCCAAGCTCTGGAGTGAGAAGATTGACCTTTAATCTGGACCACACCTTCTGCTGGCAGCCTATATAGAGGACATGGGAGAAGGAAGCTCTCTGCCCGCCTGCTGGCAGACCTGCTCCTTCACTGGAATTACAGTCTACTTCTCCAGGGTTCTGGTGTATGCTGAGACCCGCTGTAGACTGAGCAACTACTGGACTCTTGAACCTTCTGCTGGTAGACAGCCGCTGCTGGACGAGCTGGGCCACAGCGAGGAAGCCATCTAATAAACCCCACGTATGTGAAACATATATGGGAATGTATCAGCTCTGTTCTTGAGAACCCCGGCTAAAGCAACATGAGGCAGAGATGGTGTCTATTAAAAGAGATTTTCAACAGATTTCCAGATGGACTAATACACAGGACCCAATCGGGAAGACAAGACCTACCATTGAGTTGAATGGTCTCTGAGAGGGGCTCACACAGCATTTGGTTTATAACACTCATACATAGGATTCTGGTGGGTTCTGAGTCTATTGTCTTCAAAGGGTTGCCAAGAAACCTAAATGAGATCACAGAGAGGCACCTACCCCATGGGATTAGATCACAGGGACATCTCCACTGCAAACCAAGTTAAGTCTTGTTGGTGACAGTCCCGGGAAATGTCCAGGGAAGGGATGAGGCCAGAGCTGCAGGTCTTACAAGCTTGGTCTTAAGCCTGGTTCTACGGGGAGGGGGGTGGTATTGTGATGTCAGGAACCTTCACAGCGAGGATTGTTCACCGTGCTGGAGTTCTTGACTCTTGGCTGGTAGGGGTGCCCAGCAGATTCTGGTGAGCATTGCCCTTCCCTTCACGGGCACCTACAGTTTAATCCGTCTGTCTGTGCTAGGTTTTAGATACAGGGTGGAGTGGGGTTCAGGAGGACACTGAGACAGCTTACCAGTGGGTAAGGAGTTTAGAAGAGGAGTTACTATCGCCCTGGACAGAGAGGGAGGCAATGGCATGGCGGAGACTCAGGGGAGCCTTTACACCCCAGCACCTAAGACAGAAAGCCGGGTAAAGTCTCTGCAGAGAGACATCAGAGCCCAAGTGTTGGAAGCGGGGAGGGTCTGTTCCAATAGCTCTCTGAGGAAGAAGGAGGTTCACACCAAGAGCCTGCAGCCAGGCTCTCTGGCTCCCAGGCAGGAGGCAGGGAAGACATGTGGAGCAGGATAGGGCCCCAAGTTGCCCTTTGCTGTTAATTCACTTCCAAGGTAAGAAAGCCCGGCTTTGGGATGTCTGATAACCAGGGACTGGCAGTGTCCCAGCCGAGTGCCCGCAGACGCCTATAGCCCTAGCACTTGGGAGGCAGAAAAAGGGGGATCAGGACTTCAAGGTCATCCCAGGCTGAGGAGTCTGAGCTCTGGGCTACACGAGACCCTGTCCAAAACTCGAATAAAAAGACCAGCCTAGGACCTATACCCTAACACCCAGGAAGAGAGGGCAGAGGGAGGACTGAAACTCGTGGACTAGCTATTTCTTTGTATGCTTATGTGATAGAGGGTCTTGTGACACAGCCCAAACTGGGATGAAATCCACAGCCATCCTCCTGCCTCACCTTCCCAAGTACTGGGATTACAGGCATGCACCATTACACCCGGTGACCTACAGATTTGAGAGCATCTAATGCACCAAGTTTTACAGGAACATTTCTCTGTGCTGACTAAAGTCCATGGACATTTCTGTGGGGTTAGACTTAAGGCAGACTGTTTTGGCTCCACTCTTATTCATCTAATCTAAATGAAGCTATTTAACCTCCTGAAGCCTCGTTTCTTGTTATCTGTTAGATGGGCACAATACTAGGATCTACAGTTGGGTATTAGTTTTTTTCAACAATTATAGAATATCATTTTATTTACAGAATTTTTAAAATTAAAAGGTCATATTAGTTAATTCCTTTTCTAATTCTGCCATAACAGAGTCTTTTAAAAGACTGGATGAAAATACAGAACTGTAAAGGGTTAATCTTTAAAGACCAAACTGAGTTAATGCCTTAAAGTACTTAGCATATTGCCTGATACATCCATAGGCCACTTTCCATAACTGTGAGTTTATTTCAGTAGCTCAGTAACTAGTTTTTTAAGTTTTTAGTATTGCATTTTTGGTGTGTGTGTGTATGTGTGTGTGTGTGTGCGCGTGCATATGAACACGTGAGCTCAAGGGCATGTTGGCAGAGACTACAGTGTGTATGGGGAGGTCAGACATACCTTATGGAAATCCATTCTCTCCTTCTACTGTGTGAGAACTCAGGACATCAGTCTTGGCCACAAGTGCTGTCTGAACCCTCTAAGCTGTTCCAACTGCCCATCAAACAGTTTTGTTTTAGTCTGTGTTCACGAATATTGTGATCCAATTTTTTGTTCCAATCCAGTGATATCTTCAGGAATAAAGTTAGATAACTCTTGCTGTGGCATTATATATCTTGTGCCTGCAAACAGTTAAAGAAGCTATCAAGAGTATGCTTGTTGCCTTCACTGAGCATAAAATAAAAATGCAAAGTTAAACTGTCATAAGTCTCCCGGATAGACCGAAAGCTGTTCAATTCAGTGCTTCCAAGTGTCTTTCCAAAGTGGCCCATTTTCAAATATTCCTAACACGGGGGAAGGGGAGCCATCTGGTGCATCTCTTGTGAAGCTGGGCCTTCTGAGCTCTCGGAGCCCTTCCCCGGGGACGTCAGCAAAGGTGGATGGCCAAGAAGTGTGTCTCCAGGGGGAAGGAGTAAGCAAAATCTGTCACGAATCTCTCTGAAAGTCAGTATAGACCAACACCACAGACACACAGTGTAACAAGCAAGAGTGTGGAGAGGAGAAACCAGAATGGGTTCTCGCGGTCTAACCTGGGCAGATGCCTGTAGTTAAACTGAGAAAGACCAACCAGGGACTGTATGTTAATATGTCCTCCTGAGGAAAGCAGACCAGAGGAGGCTGGCAACCCTCCCCACTACCCATCCCTTCAAAACAGTAATGTCTACTATTGTCCCCACTTTGTAGGGAAGGAAACGAAAATTCACTGGGGCTAATGAACTTCTTCCTGTATCTACACAGCAGGCAAAGTTGGGGGCCGGTCTGTTTGATCAGATCGGCTTTCAGTCTTCTGGGTGTTAGTCATGCAAGGAAGAAATTGCAGATTGAAAGAAGTATGGACCCTGGCGGTGGTGGCGCACGCCTTTGATCCCAGCACCCAGGAGGCAGAGGCAGGCGAATCTCTGTGAGTTTGAAGCCAGCCTGGTCTACAGAGTGAGTCCCTGTCTTAAATAAAATAAAATAAAATAAAATAAAATAAAATAAAATATAAAAAGGTTGTGTCAAAAAGTGTCAAAAATTTTGTTACCCTATTATCACAGCAAAATATCAGGATGCTGGATGCTTAAGAAATTTTATATGAAATTTATTAATGAAAGTCAAACTTTTTTTTTTCAAGACAGGGTTTCTCTGTATTGTTTTGGAGGCTGTCCTGGAACTCACTGTGTAGACCGGGCTGGCTTCGAACTCACAGAGATCGGCCTGCCTCTGCCTCCCGAGTACTGGGATTAAAGGCGTGTGCCACCAATGCCCGGAGAAAGCCGAACTTTAACAACTAGTTTACATACTCGGTATCGTGGGAAGGAGGGGCCAGGTGACGATGAAGCTGTGCCCCCGGGCTCCCCTCTGTTACCCTCTGACTCCGGCACATGCGCTAACGCACATGCCCTACTTCCAAACTAAATAAATGTAGTATAAAGAAGGAATTGGTTTATATAGGGCAGTAGACAGGAACAAAATATAACGACACACGCGCAGGATTGGAGAGATTGCTCAGTGGTTAAGGACGTCTTGCCGCTCTTCCGGAGGACCCTGGTGAGGTTCCTGGCACTCACATGAGAGCCCACAGCCGGTCTGTAACACCAATTCCGGGTATCTGATGCTCTCCTCTGGCGCCAGGCAGGCATGTGACACACACATGTGTATGAGACAAACACTCAGACACATAAAATAAAAAAAAAAAATAGCATGCTTGTGTGAAAATGCCATAAGGAAACACATTGCTTTGTATGTTTTAAAAAACTACATTTTTTTAAAAAGGCAAAAAGGAATCAATGTGGGCTTTATTAATGAAATGTTTGTTAAAAAAAAAAAAAAAAGAAGAATAGTGTAGTGCACTTTGGGAACAGTCTCCAAAGGCCCAGGAAGAGAGTCATGATTGCCTATCATGTTCAGTTTTCTATGTTAAACCACAGCTCTTCAGATCATGTAAGTTTCATAGTCAAAGGCTTCCACGTGGCATTTTCTTTCAGGAAGCTGGACCTCTACTGCCATCTGCTGTGTCCTGTCAAATATGATCAGACTTAAAGTCTCCCCCATCAACGGCTCCTGAGGAATGATAAGTACACGGGGGAAAAAGCCTGTGTGGCATTGCTTTGTGAGACACGAGCTCTGGAGAAACACGTTTGCAGTCATGTGTTTCAACGTGTATGAGAAGTATGGGGAAGGCTTATGTGTGTTGTTCAAAATAGTATAAATTTGAAGAACACAAAAAATAGAAAATAATGTAACAAGACTTAGGCCTCCACCATCTTTACAAAAAAAACAAAACAAAACATAACAATGTATTTCCACTATACTTCCCGAATTTTTTCCTCTGGTCTATCATCACCATTCCCACCCCCAAGGATTTTAATTTCTTGGTGTCACAGTCATCACTCAATTTTTTTTTGCACCAAAACCACACTGTCGTGATCGCTACGTGTTTGTGAACATGAGGTCAGTCAGTCCTTTAATGTGTTTTCCTTCCAGATGCCATCACTCTTTAGTACAATTACTCGTGCTGTGGTGGCCCCCACCCGGAACATTATTTGTGTCGCTACTCGCAACTAACTTTGCTGCGACTATGAATTGCGATGTGTTCTCCATCGGTCTCAGGCGACCCCTGTTGGACCCCAAAGGTGTCAGGACCCACAGGTTGGGAGAACTGCTGTAAATCTCCCAGGTTCTCGGTGGCTTTTGTCGGAGAGCAGTTACAGCTGCTGCTGGGTACCTCTTGCTGTTTTCTGAGGCCTGACCTCAGTGCACAGCCAGGCTGTCCTGGAGCCAGAAATCCTCCCACTTTCAGCCCAAGGGCTGAGATTGCAGGCAGGAGGCACCATGCTGGGCGGGGCCAGGGTGGGGGGTTTAACAGGTGGTGCATGAGTCTGCCTTTCCATCAGACCGCTTTATATCCGATCCTCCCCTCCCACGGCTGGGGAGGACCTTCCTTCTCACTTAACCCTTTCAGGAAGTACAGACCTCAAACCCAGACTCATCCTCGCTGCGTGCATCTTAGCTGCCTCCCAGAGGCCCATCTTCTTCTGGTGTCTGTGCCTTCTGCCGCCAGTGTTGTTAGGAGCGGGTGGAGCCTTCAGGAGATGAGGTCCTGTGGAAGTTAGGACATTGGATGGCTGTGGTCCTTAAAGGGGGTGATGATGGGGGCCAGTGCAGTTACATCATCACCTATCACCAGGTGCTTTTTTTTTTTAA